AATCTGTGGTTCACATTTTATTTCTTTATTCTGTTTTGATTTTTGTAATCAAACAGACTATCTCCTTTCTTAATTCTATATTTGCATACAGTGAAGATTGTCCAACAAAACTTACGTATTTTTTGGAACAAATTTACCCATTTCAGTGAAAGAAAATACGCATTTCGGTATTCACTTACTCATTTTTGTGAAAACACTTACGTGATTTTTGAAAGCTTACACATTTTGTGTTGTTCTATATTTTTTTGAACAAACTTGTGCATTTTTGTGAAAACTTACACATTTTTGTTAAATAAGTTACGTGATTTGTGAAAACTTATGCATTTTGTGTTGTTGTCAATAGAATCTGTGGTTCACATTTTATTTCTTTATTTTGTTTTGATTTTTGTAATCAAACAGACTCTCTTCTTTCTTAATTCTATATTTGCATACAGTGAAGATTGTCCAACAAAACTTACGTATTTTTTGGAACAAATTTACCCATTTCAGTGAAAGAAAATACACATTTTGGTATTCACTTACTCATTTTTGTGAAAACACTTACGTGATTTTTGAAAACTTACACATTTTGTGTTGTTCTATATTTTTTTGAACAAACTTGTGCATTTTTGTGAAAACTTACACATTTTTGTTAAATAAGTTACGTGATTTGTGAAAACTTATGCATTTTGTGTTGTACTATATTTTTGGAACAAATTTTCCCATTTTAGTGAAAACTTACGCATTTTCGTGTTCACTTACCCATTTTTTTGAAAAAACTTATGTGATTTATGAAAACTTACACATTTTGTGTTGTTCTATATTTTTTTTTTTTAACAAATTTATGTATTTTTGTGAAAACTTACACATTTTTGTTAAATTAATTACGTGATTTGTGAAAACTTACGCATTTTGTGTTTGTTATATTTTTTGAACAAATTTACCCATTTTAGTGAAAACTTACGCATTTTCGTGTTCACTTACCCATTTTTTGTAAAAACGCTTACGTGATTTGTGAAAACTTACCTATTTTGTGTAGTTCTATATGTTTTGAACAAACTTATGTATTTTTGTGAAAACTTACATATTTTTGTTAAATTAGCTACGTGATTTGTGAAAACTTATGCATTTTGTGTTGTTCTTTATTTTTTGACCAAATGTACCCATTTTGTGAGAACTTGAGCATTGTTGTGAAATCAGTTACGTTATTTGTGAAAACTTATGCATTTTGTGTTGTTCTATATGTTTTGAGCAAACTTATGCATTTTTGTAAAAACTTACACATTTTTGTTAAATCAGTTACGTGATTTTTGAAAACTTATGCATTTTGTGTTGTCCTTTATTTTTTGAACAAATTTACCCATTTTGTGAAAAGTTGCGCATATTTTTGAAAACTTACGCATTATTGTGAAATCAGTTACGTGATTTGTGAAAACTTATGAATTTTGTGTTGTTCTATATGTTTTGAACAAACTTATGCATTTTTGTGAAAATTTAAACATTTTTTGTTAAATCAATTATGTGATTTATGAAAACTTATGCATTTTGTGTTGTTCTTTATTTTTTGAACAATTTTACCCATTTTGTGAAAAGTTACGCATATTTGTGAAAACTTACGCATTATTATGAAATCAGTTACGTGATTTTTGAAAATTTATGCATTTTGCGTTGCCAATTTTTCACACTAAACTTAGGCATTTTTGTGTTAACTTACTGTTGTTAAAAATTTAATTCAAGCCTAATCGACAATGATTTGATCGACAGACTTAAACCAATCTTTAAGTAAACACAAATAAAAATCAAGCTTTATGATTGAGTTCTATGCCTTAAACAGATTAAGAACTTTCCTAGAGGTAATTAGGTAAAGAAGAGATAGAACAGAAAAGAATATGTATTAATTCGAATAAATTGTCACTTGTCACTAGTTACAAGAACTTAAACAAGAATAAAAAATTGAATAAATACAGCAATCGACAAAAAGAAGAGAAGTAGGGGTTGGAAAAATCTACTAGTTTAATAAAATGCTAAGTTAAGCTACTCCTAGATAGACTCTTTGCGAGTGTTGTTGATGATTGAGCTCTTTTTTTTTTCATTCTTCAAGTCCTCATTTTATGCTTGCTTGGCCACCTCATGTTGTAACTATCAATCTATGATCTTCTTTGATCTTTGCTTCACTCAACCATATCCTATATCTTCATAGGAACTACTTGCAGATTTTGTGCTTTGGCTTGATATTGATCCCCCAATTTTAGTATATGGTTTCTAATTGATTTCAAAAAATATCTTTATTGGCTTTATTTAATCTTTTCAAGCCACATCAGCATCTCTTCCATGCCACGTTACTAGCATACTTGCCGCGCCATGTCAACATACCTGTCGACAGAAATAATAATAATAATAAAAATAAATGTAGTGAAGGTTATTCTTTGAAAATAGTTTATAATTTCAATCGACAAACCATAATTGAACTTGGCCATAACTAATAGGCCCCAATCAACAAAAAAATAAAATGTGGTGCAAACAATGCCCCCTCCTTTAAATGGATTGAAGAATGAAATCCAATTAAATGATTTATAAGACGATTTACCACAATCGACAAAAAATATTTTATGGTACAAACAATGCCCAGCTTGATTTACATCACTAGTATTTTCTAAGGCTTTATACTACCCATAAATGGTGTAGTTTGAGCCTTTTTGTATTTACTAAAGCAAGGCATGTGCTTACACTTCTAACATTTAGCCTTATTTCAAATTTTGAAACAAAAATTAATAACAAAAATAATTAACTAGCCTTCTATAGATGCAAAGTATAACCAATTGGCCATCGGCTATTAAACTGGCATGTGTCGACACTAAACCACATCCCATAACTCAATAGACAAAGAAAAGAGGATGCAAACAAGATAATAAACAACTACCAACATCCACGGACACATGTCCGGATCACTGTACAACAAGGGTAAACCCGGGATCGCTATAACAACCATTTGGCCGTTGGCCATTATTGGTTTGGCCAAGTATTGGCTATTATATGGTCATTTTTTTTATTCCATCAAACTTACAAGTATAAGATGTTTTTGTTAACCAGTTCATCAAAATTAACTTTTGATGTGAACCAAAATCCCATGGTGGTCGTTACGTAGCAGAAACCATAATATCAAATGGTTTTAGAAAATCAAAACTTTTAAAAAATATAACAATGTCAAAAAATTCAAATTCAAGAAAGGTGGGTTGTTCATAATTTTCAGCCATGCTTGGCTTAAAATCATGCCCCCCACATTTATAATTTTCAGCAACCTTTGGCTTCAAATTATGCCCCCGAAGTGAATCTTCACCATTATTTTGTGATGAATTTTTAACATTTTTTGAGAGACGGAATTGTTCTTCTTTTTTAGCCATTAATGGCTTGTCACTTTTTGCCACATTTGGCAAAACATCATGCCCCCCCAGTGAACCTTTATCATCGAAATTCTCAATATTTTTTGAAAGAATGGGTTGTTTTTTAATTTTAGCCATTAATGGTCAATGAATATTTTCCAAAGTCATATTATCTTCATGACTTGGTGTGCTAACCCTTCGAGCCACATACATTCGCTGTTCATGAATGATTGGCTCTTCAAAAATATGTGTTAACCCTATGAGCCACATTATTTTCATATCTTAATTTTTCATTGGCCATTATGCCTTCTAATTTTTTCTTCCAATATTGAATTTCTTCATCAATTAGAAAAATTTGGCCTTTAAGTCGATAAATTTTTTCATCATAGTAATTTAAATCTCTGTGTAAAATAATATGGAAATTTGGCTCCTTTTGTTTTCTTATCATTGTGGAAGGTTCATCTCTCATTGGAGGGGCACTATGGTATGTTTTTTAGTAACGCTTTAAGGCTCTTACTTGCAATGTTTATGTTTCTTTGATATTGTAGTAAATGGAATGTACTATAATCAAAAATTGAAAATGGAGAATTCTCTGACCTCATATAAATCTTGCTGTTTTTTATTGCTAGAACACACATGGCATTGGCATGGATGAACAATCCACAAAATCAAAATTTATTTGTAATTTTGAATTCTCTAATTAATCTATTGTTTATGCAATTTTCTATTCTACACATTCGAAAAACAAACTCTGGGTAGTAAATAACCCATAGAGATTAAACGCTTCGTGGAATTAACACTTTCTGAGACATAGGGGTGGCGAGAGAGGGGGTGGCCACCAAGAATCATGCTCCTTGAAAACTTTAAGTAGTCTTGAGGTGGTCCCAAGGGGTCTAGTGCTTCATGGGATTTGAACACGCTTCCTTAAACACAAAGGTGGAGGGAGAGGGTAGCTAACAAGAACCCTATCCCTAATAAAATTTAAAATTTGGGGTTACTCGAAGGGATCTAGTGAATTAAGGTATTTAAACTTGTGAACTATGCTTGCTAAGGCATTTTGATGAAGAGAGGGATGGTTATCACCAAACTTCTTAAAAAGCCACAACTTTTTTCTTTTCATTAGAGCCTACTGCCTCCAAAAACCTTTTTCCTTCACTTTGGCCCCTGGCTTTTGAAATTCTGACTCTGCCCTTGTAATGAAGTGCTTATCACAACTCAACCTGTAACTTGGACAACATTATTCTATAGTCGAAATATGTATAGCGTCAAATCAAAAAGGACTGTCTATAGACCTATAAGATAAGGCGTGCTAGCCTATCTATAGTAAGAGGCCCTTTTTTTGCTTTAGCGTTTTAGTTTTCAATAAGAACATTTAGGCTATATTAATAAGATAGAAAGGGCCTTTTCAGCTTACTCTGCTACAGCAGACCGTTAGTTGGGTACCACGATTTGTGGGCTTGAAGGGACTTGGTATCGTGACAAGTGGTTTCAAAGCCAACAGTTATGCTGGACACCGATCACCAAGTTGTGGCACTCGTACCATTGCATTGAATTGAATTTCTCTTGATTTACACTTGAAATGTGAATTTTCATGCATAAATTTCTCTTTCTCTGAACTTGTTTGTCTATCAAAAGGCAAATGCAGCGTCGGGAATGGCTATGAATAATGAGTGCAAGCTCAAGTTCTTGGAGCTAAAGACAAAGAGGAACTGCAAATTCATAGTGTTTAAGATTGATGAAACAATCCAACAAGTGAAAGTAGAGAAATTGGGGAGTCCTGAGGAAACCTATGAAGATTTCACCAACAATTTGCCTGCAGATGAGTGCAGATATACTGTGTTTGATTTGGATTTCAGAACCAATGAGAATTGCCAGAAAAGCAAGATCTTTTTCATTGCATGGTAACTGTGTTCCTTTCTGAGAGGAAAATTTATGAGCTGGATTGGGCTGTGGTAATGACTGGGCAGATTATGGGCCGAACATGTTGTGGGCCGTGGTAGCTTGGGCTTAGCCGGAGAGGGTTGTGCTCGATAATGGCCCAGGACCATGCTAGGACCAAGCTACTTGGCTTGTTTATGCGGGAACCGAGCTAATTGGGTAATTTGGCCGAGATGATGGAAGTCGGTCCTATTCCCATGGTTCGTGCTTCCAGCCCGACTAAAAAGGTCTTCAGTTTACCAGCTCGACCAGTTTTCAGCTCGGCTATGCCGAAATGCAACCGAGCTCAGTCGTCGTTGAGCTCGGCAAGCAGAGCACTCTAGCTTGTTATGGAACACGGCTGTTGGCAGCCGAGATGATGCGGCCTGGTTGTCGAAATCCTGGTAGTGTGGGCTGGCAGTTTGGTCAGGTGATGATCAGCTAGATTTGTGTTGGCAGATGGGATAGCAGCACCACGTGTCGAGAGACTAATGGGAGTAGATTTGGGGCGCAGAAGGTATATAAGCCAGTCTGCGCCCCCCATGCCTAGACAGATGAACATTTGGTGAGATATACACTTACACTCAACTCTCTCCTCTCTATCTATCCCTGTGTGTGTGTGTGCTAATTTGATCGTCGGAGGGGTTTTCCAGCCACACACCGCCGGGTAGCTCACCGCCGTTATGCTCGCAGGTCGATCGAACAGACAGGAGCTTGGAAGAAAGGAGTACGGGCTTGCCTGAATATTTGCTCCCCGTACAATTGGCGCCATCTGTGGAAACTTGACAGACAAAACCTTGTCTTCTAGGCTCATCTGATCACTATCCATGGCGAACAACGATGAGATTCCGTTGTCTGCCATCGACGGAGTTACCCCGGAGTCAGGCAGACGGAGAGAAGGACATCCCACCATCCTTCCTATGGCGGACTTGGAGACTTCTCCAAGAGGACATTCAAGAGACGCGCGGGATAAACACAGAAGAAGCTTTGGTCATTCATGGAGTCTAGACGGTCACCGACAGCGGAGAGAATCGCACGCTAGATGACTGGAACACAAGCTAAGGGACCAAGACGCCGTCATCCGGCGAATGGAGGCGGAGATGGAGGATCTTAAGTGGCATGTCAAAGGGAAGGGTGTAGCTGGAGTGGGAGACCACAGTGAGCGCACCCAACCCCACTGTTCAGGCAGTCAGAGCCAGCGGCGTACTCCGTCCATCTCAATCACCAAAAGTTACAAGGCTGGAGATTTCGACGCGCACGTAAAGAAGTCCAGCGCGCAAGACAGCACCTATCAACCCTCACGTCCGACGACGACGTCGGGGTATTCTTATTCCGCTCGTTCAGAGGATTTGTAGGTAGTCTTGAAGGAACGGGCTCGCCGGCGGGAGGCTCAGACGGTGCCGGCGTTCCAGCGGCTATCCTATGGGGTTCACGCCAGTAAAGAGGTCGAAATGCCTTCACCCTGCCTAGCTACGCCTTTCCTTTTAGACACAGACTTGGCGAGGCTGAGCGTCACTCCTTTCTCCCTGGAGATAGAAACAACACCACTTCCGACAGGCTTTCACCAGCCAAAGTTCACCCTCTACGATGAAAAAATTGATCCATATATGCATGTAAGTCATGATTGGACATAGGCGAAATGACGCTCTTATGTGCCTTATCTTCCCGTCAAGTTTAGGCGAGCTGGGCTTGAAGTGGTTCGAGAGGTTGCCGGAGGGAAGCATCGAAAGGTGGCAACAGTTGGCGGAAGCCTTCGTGACACGTTTCAAAACCAACACCAAAACGCCAAAGGAAGTTAACCACCTTCTCAGTGTCAAGATGGAGCCGAGCAACACACTCAAGGCATACAACTCTAGATACTGGAAAAATTTTAATGAGATCTTGGATTGCCCGGTCAACCTAGCAATCACTCAATATAAGCGTGGTCTCCCGGTCAGACATAGACTGCGGGACTCGCTTACTATGCACCAGCCGACATCCATGGGTCAATTAATGCAGCGCATCAACGAGCACATTCGAGTAGAAGATGATGCGGCAGCGTCTACCATGAAGGCAACTCCGGTAGCAACAGACAAGAGGTCGGCTGGCAAGGTGCATGCGGTCGGACAGGAGACCAACCGTTCAAATGATCACGCCGAGGAATCTGACCGAGGTTCAAATCGTCAAAACCGGGGTAAGGGTCGACGGAATGACCAAGATGAATACCCCCGCGATGACGTAACTGATGCGAACAAAAGATTGAAAGCCAGGACAAGCATCACCACGGTCTTTAAGATTCTAATTTATCGCATACTTAGAGAAATCCGTGACGAGGATTATGTCCGGTTTCCTACTAAGTTAGGCGATGCGCAGAAGGGTCGGTACCGCTGCACATTTCACTGGGAGCGCAGACACCGGACAGAGGATTGTTTACCTCTGAAGCAACACTTAGAGGAGCTAGTCGCAGCCGAACACTTGGACTTTTACATTGATGGGGGTGTTAAAGCTGCGCATCCTGCTCCGGTTGATCCGTGTGGACCGGATGACTTGGAGGCACCCCCTCAGGGCATTGTTAATGTGATCCACGACATTGTGGAACCGGCGCGTGTATGTGAACTCTGAGGTATGATCAAGAAAGCGGAGCACATGAGAGAAGTTTTGTCGGTCCAGCCCGCGATCAAAAGGGACAAGACCGAAGAAAAAGACATGATCAGTTTCTCTACAAGGGACCTAGAGCACATTCAGACGCCGTACAACGATGCCTTAGTGCTCACACTCTGCGTCAAAGAATTCGATGTCAAGCGCATCTTGATCGATCAGGGAAGCTCGGTCGAGATCATGTATTACGACGCATTCAAACAGCTCAAGCTCTGGGATACAGACTTGGCTCCGGCAACTTCGCCACTGGTTGGTTTCAACTCACAACTGGAGTGCACAACGATGCCTTAGTGGTCACACTCTGCGTCAAAGAATTCGATGTCAAGCGCATCTTGATCGATCAGGGAAGTTCGGTCGAGATCATGTATTACGACGCATTCAAACAGCTCAAGCTCTGGGATACAGACTTGGCTCCGGCAACTTCACCACTAGTTGGTTTCAACTCATAACTGGAGTGGTCTTTGGGAAAGATTATTCTGCCGGTCAAAGCGGGATCCGTGGTCAAGTAAGTGGAGTTCTGGGTATTGCAAGTGCTGTCCATATACAACCTGGTCCTTGGAAGGGGATGGCTTCACGCTATGCAGGCTGTAGCGTCGACCTACCACTAGGTGATTAGATTCCCTTCAGCTATGGAGGCAATCAAGAAAGTTTGAGGCGATCAAGTTATGTCGAAGCAATGTTTCATGGCAGTCAACGGGAGCCGAGCTGCCAAAGGCTTCGTCCAAATGATTGAGGGACCAGAAGACCGAGGAGTCCTTAACGATGTGGGCAACAAGGCTGAAGACAAGGCCGTTGAAGAATTGGTGGAAGTTTGGATTGACACAGAAAGTTCAAACAAGTTCTTCTTGCTCGGTTCAAGCCTTACCGCCCAAGAAAGAACAGATATGGTGGAATTATTGATGGCAAACATCGAAGTCTTCGCATGGTCGCCTTACCACATGCTCGGCATCAATTCGAGTTTCATTTGCCATCTCCTAAATATTTTCCCCAGTGCAAAGCCGGTCATTCAGAGAACGAGGAGATCGGCGTTGCATCACGTCGAGGTAGTTGCAGAAGAGGTGAAGAACTTGCTTGAGGCATGAGCTATTCGAGAAGTGCACTACCCTCGATGGATTTCAAACATAGTTGTTGTACCCAAGAAGAATGAGAAGTGGCGAGTTTGTGTCGACTACAAGACCGTCAACCGAGCTTGCCCTAAAGACAGCTTTCCACTGCCCAGAATAGACCAGCTTATGGACTTAACAGCTGGACATAACAGGCTCAGTTTCTTGGATGCCTACTGCTGTTATCATTAGATTTCCATGCATGGCCCCGACCGCGAGATCACCTTCTTCACTACACCGAGGGGACTCTTCTACTACCAAGTCATGCCTTTTGGTTTGAAGAACGCCGGGGCAACTTTTCAAAGGATGGTGACCAAGATGTTCACTCCTCTGCTAGGCCAAACAATGGAGGCTTATATAGATAATATGGTGGTTAAGAGTCGGCATCAAGCAGACCACTTGTCCGACTTGGCCGAGATGTTCGCCATTCTCAAACAACACAAGCTACGCCTAAACACGTCTAAGTGTGCCTTTGGCGTGGGATCCGAAAAATTCTTAGGTTTTCTAGTCACAAATCGAGGCATCGAAGCAGACCCCAGGCAGATCAGAGCCGTACAAGAATTAAAGCAGCCTAGCTCGGCTAAGGACGTGTAGCATCTGGCCGGAATGGCCGCCGCGCTTAACCGATTTATAAACCGGTCATCAGATCACTACCGCCCTTTCTTTCAAACTCTGAAATCAAAGTTCTCATGGGATGAAGAATGTGACCGGGCTTTGGCCGAGCTCAAGGAGTATATGTCTTCAGCGCCCTTGTTGGTCACACCGAAACCCAGTGAAGAACTTTACCTTTATCTGGCCGTTTCTCAGCACGCAGTCAGTGCGGTGCTTGTCCGGTCAAAAGAAATCAAGCACCTCCCCATCTTCTACGTCAGCAAAACCTTGCTACCGGCAAAGTCGAGATACTTACCGCTGGAAAAACTTGCATTGCATTGATGATGACCTCTAAGAAGTTGGCGTACTATTTTCATGCTCATACCATCATCGTTTTGACTGAGTTCCCCCTCAAAGCTTTGTTCGAATGGACAGATTTCTCCAAATGAATTCTCAAGTGGGCAGTTGAATTGGGACAGTTTGATGTCAAGTTTCAGCCACGCACTGCCATAAAAGCCCAGAATTGGCCGACTTCGTTGCTGAATTCTCACCTGGAACTCATCCAGTTTGCCCGATGGATATTGCCGCGGTCGATGAGGAGGTAAATGCAAGCTCAACTGAAATAACACAGCTTGGCGATGTTGGCGACGTAG